TGTACAGGTTCACGAGGTACAAGTCCCCCCCCACCCCACCCCACCCCCCAGCTAACAGCACTGTTTGCAGTGAGCTTCTTGAGGTCCTTTAGGGTCCCTCTTAATTCTGCCTGGAGATCCCCTGGCCAGGTTTGGTCTCAGCTAGCAAGATAGAACACCACACTTGAGCTAGTAGTAGTCACGAGGGCACTGCTGTCTCCTGGCATGCAGGGCCCCTATTGGCTATTTGCCAGGAGGAAAAGACCAGGTGCCTCGGTTGCTGGGAAAGGCATGAAGGGAGGAAAGTGTCACTAGCCACGCTGAGCTCTTGGCCAGAGCACAGCTGAGAATGGCTTCTGGCTTTTGGGGACTGCAGACGGGCAGTGCTCCGTGGAGCAGGCACTAGTGTGTAAGGACTGCTCTGTGGTGGGCCATTCCCTCTGATGGCTTTTTTTAAGCTGTAGGGACCGTGGCAGACGGCACCTCTAAGGCTTTCCTGTGTTAGGCATTTTGACTCTTAACTAAGCTGCAGAAGGACTCAGCACCTCCCACCCCTCAAGTCAGGACTTCAGCCATCCAAGATCCCGCAAGAACGCTCAGAGTTCTTCAAAGCTTACTCAAAAGAAGCCTCTTCCTCATTCCTTAAGACTTTTCTGACCTTGGCTTCATTCTGTCCCATTCTTTGTCAAACCTCTCTTCCCTGCCCCCGCCCTCCCCCCAATGCTGGGGTCACCTGCTACCCTAGACAGCAAAACCGCCCTCATCCGCACCATCAGATGGCAAGGAGACAGCTCAGTGGTGACCTGTGTCCTTGTCTGAACAGGACAGAGAGCATCTCCTAGCCCCTAAGCGATAGCAGACAGCGCTGTCCCTAGCCCTTAGGGACATTCTTGCCCACTAAGCCCAAGCAGAGTACTTGTTTATGGCTGTCCCTCTTACCTCTTGTGGCTTAGTGTGAAAGGATGGAATCTCTTAACAGTCGTGACCATAGCAGGAGCGAGTCCACCAGCTTCCCCAGCCCGTAAAAATCAGGAGGGCCCTTGGCCAGGAAGGGTCTCTGAGAAGCCATTTAATCTAGCCCTTTTCCAAGCCAGTTAGGGCCCATGTTTCCTCAACAAGAGTCTTTTCCACGTACAAGCTCACATGTTGGTGAGTCACCTGTGGTTTTGTTACACCATAGCTAACACTCCACCTCAAGTCCTAGGCTTCAAGCACCCCCCCCCAAACAACTTCTACCTGCACAGGGCTAAGGTTCCCCTCTTCCTGGGTCTCCCAGCAGCCTGCCTGCTTTTCATGGACCTTGAGAGAAGAAAAAGCTTAGGGGCTGCAGCCTCCCATCTCCCTGGCTAGGTCCAGTGCCAGGCCAGCTCACCTTGGATAGCCGCTTCTCTGGCGTCCCTCGGTGAGAAATGAGTGACAGCTGGGAGGCTTCTTTCAGTTACCCCTTTCTAGGATTAGCTGGGCCTTTCCAGGGCTCAGCCCGAGCGAGCCAAATCTCAGCCAGCATGGGACGGAGAGGGTCTCTAGGCTAACTGTAGGATCCCCGTGAGGGAGAATGATCGATCACATGGCTGAGCCTCTAACACCCTTGCATGTGAGGTGCTAGGTGCAGGAGAGGGGTACTGGATCAGCTCCAGGAAAGCAGTCCCTAGCCAAGGATAGGTTTGGAGCAGTAGGGAGAAGGAGCGTAAGTGTACATCCTTAAAAAAAAAATTGTAGTGGGTAAATACTAACATAAACCTGCCCAGGAAAACAGAGCAGAGCTTAACGTTTAAAAAACGGTAACAAAATAGAGCTCTAACTGTAAACTACAGAAATGGGCCGGGGAGCAGCCGGGCCAATGCCTCTTGCAGCGCTTGTCCTGCTCCTCCTGTGGGCCTAGGGTGTGGACACTAGGGTTTCCTGGCCGTGCCGCCACAGGGTCCTGGGCTCGGGAACTCTGCCCTTGCTTTGGCCTCTTTTCTTGGAGCAAAGATGAGGGCCTGAGAGGCTTCCAGCCAGCGCTGCTTGCTTGCTGAGTTCCCAGCAGAAGCCTGCCTCAGATGGCCGATGACTCCCGGGCTCTGCCTGGACTGGCGTCCATGCCGATCTTCCCACCAGCTGGGACCTCTTGGAGCTGAGGACTCACAGTTCAGAGGCATCGACCTCTTGAGTGGCCAGGCTGTGGCTGCTCAGCACCACACCTCCCTTCTCCACAGAGCCTCCCACAGGCAGGCAGGAGACTCTGGTGCTTGGCCAAGCCTTGTCACTTACGGGCCATGTGACCTGAGGAAGCCCCCTAACCCTCTCTGGGCCACCATCTCCTCTTCTGTTAAGTGCAGGGTATGGGTCAGTCAAGCTACAAGGCCTCCTCAGTTCTGGTAGTCTGGTCTGTCCCTGGTAATGTAGCCCAAACTCAAGGAAGGCTGCCCCCTTTATTAGCCCCGTTTCCTTCTGGGGAATCAGAGTAGTCGAGGCAGTTTGGGGAGCAGATGTGAGCAGGTGTTGGAGGGTACTCCCGAAAGCAGGCAGGGCCACACTGACGCTGGCCCTTCTCAGAGGCCTTTTCATCCCAGGACAAAGAACGGATGCTGTGTTGAGGGTCGGTTTCCAGGGCCTGAATTATGGGAGGCGGAGGCAGGCATAGGTGCACAGCCCAGCTACAGGGAAGAGAGTAGCATTGAGCCGGACACCTCCCGCCCACAGCCTGGAGGGGCCGTGAAGGAGGCATCTCAGTGGGGCAAGGCAACTCTTTGAGACAAGCCCTTTAGTCACCTAGCAACCTGGAGTGGCTCTGCCATCAGTCTGGAGGGTGACAGGGTTGGCTTGGCAGTGCTGGCTGAGAGGGCAGTGTCACCTCCATGGCGCACAGGCCTCGGGCCCAGGCTGGAGCCCTTTCCGTCAGGTGCTCATCGGGCGCTGGAGCCCCTCAGCCCCTTTGAGCTCCTCTCCCCAGTAGCCTGGGGGTGGGGGGAGGTCTGCCAGGGAGCCATGGAAGACCACGCCAGGACCAGTACTCGGCTTCTCCGGTGAGGACTAGGAGAGGCCCCTCTGCGTCATGGAGGGAGATGATATCCCAGGTTTCCAGCCCGCTGCTGCCTGTGTCCCTGCTGGGCCTGGGACTCTCATCTCAGACGGCAGTGACCACTCGTGGCCCCAGAGGGCCATCTGCTCCATCTGGAGATGCATATTAAATGCCTTCTGTCCACAGGCCTGTCCTTTCTGCCCAGGACCCTAAGGGGTGGGTCCAGGCACTGGGCCTAGTGTTATCATGGAAGTCACTGCCCAGTGCCCCCCCCCCATTCAAAGAAAAATCCCTTGCATGGTTTCTATCCTGTGGCAGAATAGAAACACCCTACCTCCTCCTACATAAAGGGTACTGTTGGGGGTAGGTGTGTAAGCCAGCCACTCGGCCTCAGTGCTGGGCCACTGTGGCTGGCGTTGGAGGGGGGCTGTGGCCAGCGGCTGTGTCCATTGGGGTGGGTGTCCAGCTTGGGTGTGGCGGGCAGTGGTAAGATCAGAGCTGGTAGCCAACGAGCAGCATCAGTACCATCACGCAGGAGAGCATGGGGCCAGGGTGGGTGGGGCGGGCAGCTGCGTTCTCCACCATCATGCTTGTGCCTGGAACCACCAGTGAAAATTGTGAGGCTGGAGCCTCCCACCACCCCCCCTACCTCCCCACTCCCCCCCCCTCCCGTGGTAGGACTGGGAGCTCTCTTGAGGGACTCGCACGGCTGAAGAGCTGGCACCCAGTGGTGTTCTTGGCCTAACAAGAGTAAGGCCTTCGCTCTTGGTTTCCGGCCCCGCCCCTTGCATTCCGTGCCTTTGGGTGGTGGTTCTAGGGTGGACAAGGGACAATGACAGGACCACTAGTCATTCTTGCCTGCCTCTTCCTTTCTCCTTGGGGTGGGGGTGGGGGAGTCTAGGTTAGAGTTGGCTCCTGGGAACAATCCTGTCGCCAGTATCTGGGGGACCAATACAGCTGAGGGGTAGAGAGGGGAGGGGCAGTACCTCCGTTTCTCACGATGTGGACCTCGGCTGGGATCCCATCCCCTCCGGGCCCCGTGGTTCGAATCTGTACCAGGGCGTGGCCAATGTCTTCAGGCACTGGGATCTCTATCCAGTTCTTGCTGGTGAGGTGGAGTGTAGGAGTTGGGTGTAAGTCATTCTGATACAGCATCTGTAGAATACAAGTTCCCAGGACCCTCGAGGTTTTGTCTTTTTGCACCCTTCAGCCTCCCACCGGCCAGGCTTCTCCTTGGTGGGAGGCAAGAGTGTGAGCAGCTAAACTCTTGTCCGACGCCCAGCCCATCGCTGCCTCTCCCTCCCTGCAGCTGTCTCTGCCCAGAGCACCCATGCTCCGTGTCTCTCCCAGCCCCAAATGCCACAGTCCTGTCCCTCAGATCCTCCTTGCTCGGGACTGCAGCCCTCTGAGGGTCCCTTTCTCACCTTGTAGCCGGTGACTGTGGATTCATTTCGGAGAGGTACCACGGGGTCCCACTTAAGGCTAAGGCTGGAGCTTGAGAAAGTCCAGGAGATGTTGCCAGGGGGCCTCCGTGGTGCTGTCAGGGGACGGGAGATGGGAGACACTGCCATATGCTTCCATGGCCACCTCTTAACCTCTAGCCAGCCCCTTTCTGATGCCTGCCCACATAGAAGGAATTCTCAGAACAACCTGTCACCACGAAACTCCAGAAGCTCAAAAAGGGAAAGATACCTCGGAAGCCGAGACTCTGCTCCCATATTTCAGCAGGCTCTGACCTGCTGCTGCCCAGCACAGACCGTGTGGCAGGAATAAGTGTTTTACTGAATAAACAAAGACCCCCCCCCACCCCACCCCACGCCTTTCCTTAACCCTGGCAGACACTCACGGGGCTTCATGGTCATGGCATCGGCCGACGGGCTGGCTGGTCCAGTGCCCGCCCGGTTGTAGGCCCTCACAGTTACGTAGTACTTTGTGTTGGGGTACAAGCCGGTGACTCGGGCACTGCTGTCGAGCCCTGCGGTCCTCACTCGGTCTGCGGCCGCTTCGTTGTCTCCCGCCTTCCAGTAGCGAATCTAAAAGGGGCAGGGTGTGCTAAAGTGTACGGCAAAGCTTTTGGCTACCCAGTCCGCATGGCCCTTTCCCACCCAGGCTGGTCCTGTGGTTGACTCTAGTGTGATAACCTGCACTCTAGGTCAGGACACCCAGCAAGTGTGGTCATGCGGCCATGAGCTCCCGCATCTGTGGGTACTCGGCAGTGTCTAGTCCAAGGGAGGTGTCCAGGATAATGGGTGAAAGAGGAAGTTGGTAGCCAGTGGAGAATTGGTCTTCTTGGTGAGGAGTCAGTGGTCCCGGGAGGAATGATGAGTATGCGGGCAGATGTCACAACCTACTCTGGAGGGCCTGGCCTTGCCTCTTGGCAGCCTTATATCCCAGGTGCTTACCTCATATCCCAGGAGAATGCCATTCATGTCTTGCTGCACAGGCTCCCAGCTCACACTCAGCTCTGAAGATGAGGACCCCTTGGCCCAGACCTTGGCAGGGGCCACCCTGGGCTCTGGGGACCAATAAAGAATGGGCATACATTCCCAAGACACCTCTGTGCCTCACAGCGTGGCCCTGACTAGCACTGTATCTGCTTAGGATTTGGGGGTTCCCGGGGCCCAAGATGATGAAGCCCAGGGGACCCCCAGGCATACCCTAGGCTTGCTTCTCCTCCCCTAGGGCTGCCCTTGTCCTTCCCTGTGCCGGGCAGTCAAGGTGGGCCAGCCCACCAGCCCACCTTCCTCTGCTGAGTACACAAGCGCAGTGAGGCTCTCGGGCCCATCCCCCCGGCCATTGTAGCTTCGAATCTTGACCTCGAAGGGTGTGTAGGGATGGATGCTGTCGTTGCTGTAGACGAAGTATTGGGCATCAGCACCGGGCACCCTGGCGGTCTGCCAACTGGAGCTGCCTTGCCTGCGGAAGGACAGCAGGTAGCCGAAGCCATCTCCATTCTGGTACTCCCGTGACACGGGCTGGGGGCAAGAGCATGGTGTGGGCCAGGGCTCATGGGTTCGTGTCCCTGCCCGTCCACCTGGCTCCACCCAGTTTTCACCCAGAGGAGTGGCCCTGGGATGCTTGTGCCTTCTGGAGGACTTAGAGGGAGGCTACAGGTGCATGGGGAGAAGGGAGGGAGGGAAGCTGCCAGCTTCCAGTGACTGCAGCCGTCCTTTCTGCTTGTTGCCACTGTGTCTGGAGATAAACTAGGGAGGGAGGGAAAGGGGCGTGACTCCTGAGAGGCCAAGACTCCTGCCTTCTTCTCTGTCCCTGCCCACTTACTGTCCAGTTGACGGTGAGCTCTCCAGGAGCTCCGCCCCCTCCACTGAGTCCTGATGGTGCCACTGAGGGGACTGTTAGGGCCAAGGAACACAGATATGTCATGTTAGTGGGCGGTTGGGGGGGATCCCCAGCCTGTGCCTGGAGAGCATCTTAGATGGGACATCCCGAGTTATCTTCCCATAGCCCTTCTAGGCATGGGTTCAATCCGGCCAGCCTGAGAACAATTCCCATTTTTGCTGTTCTACCTTGGGCAAGCTACTTAACCTTCCTGGGCCCTGGTTCTCCTCTCCATATGATGATGACAATGTCTCCATCAAGGTCGAAATGAGAAGAATTTAAACTAGAGGCCTATCACCAAGTAGTGGCTACTTTTGTATGTTGCTCTTACCTCTGTTTGCTTAGCTAAACCAGAGACCAACTCCAGCTTACGTAAGTTGATGGGGATAAAGAACTTTGAACTACAGTTAATACCAACAACAAAACCAACTAATTTTGTTAGGGGAAACTCCAAGGTATTTTACTGCTATTATCTTTCCCTCCCTCCCTCCCTCCCTCCCTCCCTCCCTCCCTCCCTTCCTTCCTTCTTTTCTTTCTAAGTCCTTCCTTCCCCTCTCCTTCCTTCCTTCCTTTTTTTTTTTTTTTTTGATGGCAGATTTAATCTCCCCATTTTTAACATTATACAAGACTGATAAGCCCAAGGATAGCCTCCCTCAGCTCACAGAGGGCCCTGAGCACCTCTAGAGCACCCAGTGCTCAGCAGCTTTCATGCTGTGATCATGTAGCTTTGCACTTGATTCTCTGAGGAGAGCATTTCCAAGACAGAAAGGCTGAGGTCCAGAGCAGTTAACTAACTTGTCCAAGTTCACACAGCCAATGCATAGTCCAGCTGGACTGTATCTCCACTCTTATGATCTTAAAGATCACCATTGTCCCTTTGCATTGTGCTTGTCTGTGCCCACCGGTTCCTGAGATGCTGGAATCGGAGACACCCCTCTCCCTCTCCCCCCATACCCTCAAGAAGTTCATTCAGAAAGCATGCCCTCTGGAGTTTCCTACTTAGACAGACGCCGGATTAAAAATGTTGAGTGATTCCGGAGCCTGCAACTTGAGAGATGCATGGAGGCAGACCCTCCATCATACACAAGCACAGGCCTGGCCAGGTAGAAGGAGGGAGCCGGTCCTGACCATGATGCTGTGACATGATTCCAGGCCCTCCCCTGGGAATGGTCAGAGTGTAGCAGGTGACCCGGCAGACGCAGCCCATGTCTGTCTCCCTCACACTTCCCCATTTGGCCTTCGACACATGCACTTTCACTGAGGGTCACAGACAAGATTATTATCCCCTCTGCGCCACAGATACCGGCTGGAAAGGGCCTGGAGTCTCTAGCCCCTGCAGAGCACATGCCTGTACATGCCCACAGACACCTTCCTCGTTAGCTGGTTTCTGCGGTTTGTAAGCATTTAAAAACAGCTCAAGGTTCTCGTCCTAGGTTCAAGATCAGGCTCTCCCCTTGTGACTTTCTTCCCTCGTTCGGATGAGCTTCCTGTCCCCCCAGTACCCAAAGCAAGGGCTTTGGATCAGGCAGTTTGCCCTGCCTCTAGCTTCACATCAGAGCCCAGGACCGGGAAACCGATTGGGACTTTGTTCCAGCTCCCACTAGGGCACCCTCTGCTGAGAATTTGCTTTACAACCCCAGGCACTCGCCTGCCTCCTTGGTCCGGATTCGGCTGGATGGCCCGCTGGGCTCCCCAGTGCCCAAGATGTTGCTGGCTGAAACCCGAAACTCATAGTCCATCCAAGGCATGAGGCCCAGCACCTGGGCCGTCTCGGCATTACCCTCGATGTTCGCAGGATCTGCAAGGTCCAGGGGCGTCAGTGGTTAGCACCCGTTTATTGCCAGGACGAGGGCTCCTGTGACCTTTGTATTCTGCCCTCATCATGGTACTACCATAGGTTAAGCCTTCAATTTCCCTGACTGAAAAACTACTGATGCCTCGGGGCCTATGCTATGTGCGCCTCGCTCCACACATGTTGAGCGTGCTGGCAGTCTCCGGCCACAGTCCTCAGAAGGCTTCGAAGGCACCCGCCTCCTCCTGTCCTTCCCTTGCCTTCCTGCTGGCTACAACTGCTTCCCTGCCTGCCTAGGTGCTCCCGGGAGATACAGAACAAACTTTTCATTCTCTTTGAAGCCCAGTGCTCAGCCCTTGGCCCCCTGGCCCCTGTCTCCTGCTGTGCACACCGGTGGGGGATGTGGGGCTCACACTTACTGGTCCGAACCTGCTTCCACTTCCCAGCAGGTGGAGTGCGAGCCTGCAGCGTGTACTTGGCAATGGGGCTGTGATTGTCAAAGCCACGGCTCCAGCTAACCTGGACAGTGGTGTCTCCAATGTCTCTCACCACCACACCTCCCGGGGGACCTGGGGGACCTGTACCAAGAAGCAGAGTACACCGGGTAAGAAGTAGACAGCTCGCAATTTGAGCCCATTTTCTCCAGACCCAGCTTAGACCAGCTCAGTGTCTAGGTGGGGCATCAGAGAGCCAGAAAGACTGGGTGGGAAGTCAGAGGACAGGGACAGAGGAGCAGGGAGTGGTGTGTCTCAGTCTTGTAGGCTCACAGAGGCTGTCCACAGGGGATGCATAGATTTCCCAGCGCCGAATCTGGGCTCAGCAGAGTCTTGGGGGCATTTAGGGGACATTTTGTTGCCTGAGTATTGCTTCAGAAGAAACATTCTACTCATTTAGGACCCTCGAAGAACCACAGAGGAACTAAATAGAGGCTTCCATCTCTGTGACTTCTTTCAGCTTTCAGGGAGGGGAGAGGGGGGGTGAGGAGAAGTCAATTAGCCTAGAGCCTCTCAGGGAAGTGGGGCAGATGACTCCCATCACCTCGGACCAGGACTGTGGCCTCCTTGGATGCACCATCCACCACCGTCTGGGCCATGCACATGTATTTCCCTCCATGGCGTAGCTGGGCATTCAGGATGGTCAGGTCCCCAATAGTTTCCTTCTGTGCTCAGGGAACAGCAAGTGTGAGGAGTCAGGAGGGGGCCCTAGCTGCAGGACATCATTGCCCTCTGTTTTCCTGTCTGTTCAATGGGAAGAATCACTACTTGGTACCCTCGAACAACAAAGTGTGTCACGCAAGAAAGTCTGCACGGGCCAAGTTAACGATGGCATTTGTACTGGGGAAGAGGGGCAGAGAGAAGCTCCTGGGGCACTCAGAACACCAAAACTTGATTCTAACTTAGAAGAATGGGCATTCGGTGAGTTGAGAAAAGGTGGCTGTCAGTCCTAGGATGGGGTTGCTGGACACTGCCTCAGGGGTTAGGGAGAACGTTGGAGAGCTTGAAGATGGTGATGACTGGGGGCATCTCAGGCCCCCTGTCACAACTGGAAGAAGGGAGAGTTACGAGATCCCCAGCCTTACCACACTGGCCCTCCGGTAGTGGCTTCCAGGCTTATCGAAGTCAATGGGAAAGTCATCCAGGGTCCAGGTGAATGTGAGATCCATAGTGGGATCGTGGGAGGCATGGCACTGTAGGGTCAGGTTATCGCCCACATTGATGTCAGCACTTGAAGGAGCTAGAGTGATCTTGGTTGCATCTACATAGCAACAACAAAAACAAGGCTCTTTGATATAAAGGATGGAAAAGTCCCAGGCAGGGGACTTGTACCCGAAGAAGAAAATTCATGAACAGCCAGGTTCTGGAGGATGGCCCGGGGTGTTCCCAAGGGGAACTGAGCCCCGAGGTAGCCTTGGCAGCAGAAGTATACAGGGCCAGGAGCAGATGACTGGCAGAACGGTACCCCGGCAGCCGACCACGGGTCTGAACAGACTACAGTCCTTACCGCGTACAGACAAGATCCCAGTACTGTTAGCTTTGCCCATGAAATTCTCAGCAAAGCAGGTGTATTTGCCTTCATCGGATCGACTGATGTTTCTGATCATCAAGGTGCCATCTGAAGTTACAGTCACTCTGCAACAAGAACACAAAAGAGCTGGTCAACGCAGGGATAGATACACCGTGGCCATGGAAAGGGGGCCGGCCTCCACGGAGTCATCTCCGTTGTGGCACACGGAACCTACCTGGTACTGTTCCCCAAAATCTCAGTGCCCTTGCTCCAGAGTATTGTAGCCTTTGGGGCTGCGCGAGGCTGGCAGGGGATGCTGATCTCTCCGCCTCGGGCTGCGGGGATGAGCCGTCTCACAGGGTTCTGCCTGAAGTCAGGGGCCAGGGCTGCAGGAGAGGAGTTACTTACACACTGGCCCTCCCCCATTAGGATGTCACCTGACCAGGTGCCACTGGAGACCAACCTCTCGGGTGGCAGCATCGTCTCTAGAACTGGAGCCGACCCCCCGCACCACCATCAGATCCTATATCGCCCCACCCTCTCCCTCAAACATGCTCCAGCCATCTTTCTTGCTTTCAGTTCTTTTTTCTTTTAAAGATTTCTTTATTTTTACTTTATGTGTATGGCTGTATTGCTGCATGTATGTCAGTGTAACACCTTCTGGCAGCGCCTGAGGAGGCCAGAAGAAGGTATCAGAGTCTCTGGAACTTGAATCACAGATAGTTGTGAGCCATCGTGCGGATACTGGGAATGGAACCTGGGTCTTCTGTAAGAGCATCTTCCCAACCCCACCACCACCCACCCGTTGCTTTCCTTTTTAACCCTCTGAAGTCACCAAGCCTTTCTTGCCTCCGGCTTCTTTGCTTGCATAATATCTGAAAATCCCACAGGTCTTTACAAGGCTAGCTCCTTCAGGTCATATCCAAATGTGACTTCCTCAGAGAGCCTTGCCTGACCTCCCTGTCTAACTGGCTCACCTCAGTACCACTGTGCTACTGGATTTTTCTTATACTGCATTTTTAGAGGTATACGGGATGAATTTCATGTTTGTTTATTCCTCTCCCTCTATTGGACTGTACAGTCCTTGCAAGCAGAGTGGTGATCTTTTTAGTTCATTTCTCAGGAGATGTTGAATAATGAATGAATGAACGAATGAAAGAATGGAGAGATGGCTCAGTGGTTAAGAGTACAGATTGCTCTCACAGTGCCCACATGGTGGCTCACAACCATCTGTAACTCCAGTCCCAAGAAAATCAACAGTTTCTTCTGACTTATATGGGTATGTGATACAATACAATACAAGCATTCATACAAATAAAATTTAAAAAAAGGAGTCTTTGTTGAGCCTATTAAAACTTAATAAAGGATCTTCATATCCATCTTGCAGCAGGAAAAAAAGATCACGAGCACTGGGATTAAAGGCATGAAGCATTTCATAAATCGGGAAACTGAATTATCGAACCAGGTGACTCGCCACAGGCCACAGAGCTGAAGGAGCTAGGTTAATGATCACTGTGCATTGCAGTGAGCATGCTTCATCTAGACACATCCTCAGAGAACTCCCAGTCTAGTGCCTTGAAACTGGTGCTATTCAGGGGCCATTGAAAAACCAAAGAAAACTCTGTGTGTGTGTGTGTGTGTGTGTGTGTGTGTGTGTGTGTGTGTGTGTATGCACGAGCATGCAAGCGTGTGTGCGTGCGGGCACGGGCAAGCGTATGCATGCAAGCATGGGTTTGGAGAAGCGAAAGCTCAGACCCACCCAGCCACGAGCTGCGTGTTCCGGGTTTGCTCCCTGCCTCCTAGGCCCTTTACCTTGTACAGCCAGCTCAGCACTGGCATAGATGGTACCATGCTTATTTTCTGCCACACACTGGTACATGCCAGAGTCCTCCAGGCTCAGCTTAGAGAATCGCAGGTCTCCAGCCAAGACCTCCACCCGGTTCTGTGTAGAAAAGTCGAGGCCGGGCAGGGAGATCAGGAGGGAGGACAGGAAGGGGCGGGAAGGGGGGCGTGCAGGGGGATGCAGAAGCTCTAGGCCAACAACAGGATGGGGGTCCAGGAGTGCAGGCCCGCTTCAGGGCTGCTAGGTATCTTAGGCCTCCTAGAGGCCAGCCTCGGGATCCCTTCCCCGTTTGGTGGGGTCCTATAACTCTGTGATTCTGCGCAGCTGACCCACCTCCTGTGACCGTGTGCCTCTGGCATGGGAACAGAACATCCCAAGACCTCCTGGTTGGTCCTGTATGGTTAAAGGGTGGTGTGGGAGGAAGCCCTAGTTTCCTACCTGAGAGGCCAGTGGCTCCCCATTTCTCAGCCAGCGCACCATGGGCCGAGGCTTGCCTGCCGCTGCACAGGCCCAACGCAGGTTGGAACCAATGTCGGCTTCTGTGTCTGAGATCACCTTGAGCCATTCAGGCTGAGCTGTGGGGAAGTAAGCGAGAAAAAAACCTGGACTGGCTGGGAGGGGCCTTAGGCTCATTATTAAATAGAGAATTATAAGGTCGCAGTATCTGTACCAGACAGCAGAGGGCGCTGTTGGTATTCTGGGATGGGGAGACAAAGAAGGGGGGCACTCTATGGTTGTGCCAGTGACTGCTTTAGCAACTAAATCGCTTGAAAGACATTTTTGTTTTAATGCCCCTGCTGAGCTCTGCGATGGCCTCTCCAACTATGCTTAGTAGTTCTGGCAAGGCCAGAAGGCTCAAGCAAGAGGCCTTCCAGTCTCCTGATTTTCATGCCGTTTCCTCAAGGAAAAGGAAGGTGCTCCCCAGCTCTGTACCCTGCACAATGATGCGTCCCTGGACGGTGTCACGGCCCTTAGAATTCTCTGCCTCACATTCATAGGTGCCCTCATCTTCAAAGCTGACGCTGGGGATCTGCAGGGTGGGCTCTGCTGTGGCCCACTGAGGGGACAAAGAACCGTCCACTTTGCGCCACTTGATCCTGGGAACAGGGCTGACGGGAGAGAGAGCCAGAGGGTGTGAGCCGATGCGCATGCGCCTCGTGTGTCCACAAAGCCTGTGCTCGCATTCACAGGTCCTCCTGCAGTGCTGGACAAGGTGAAGGGGACTCTTGTATGGGAGGAGACAGAGAGGAAGAGGGACGAACGAGACTAGGAACGCATGCATAGAAGAGACAATACGAGGTCTCTCCTATCACAGGCCCCTGGCCCCGACCTCAGCCCTTCAGGTGATCTGTACTCTGAAGCCAGCTTACCCTCTCACCACAGCGGTCAACAGTGGCCTGGGTCTTTACAGGTCCCCTTTCATATTACCCCACTTTCCCAAGGCACCTCAGTTGTTAGTCATTTGTATAATAAAACGGACTCTAGGGGATGCCAATATATTACCATGCCAAATGCTCCTTACACATGTTTTCTGGAGGCCCAATAACTTCCCACACAGCAGTGGCCAAGGAGCCCTGCTCTGATGGGCCCTCCTGGGAGAGCGAGAAAGAGTCTTTCTGTTGTAAGTTTTAAAGGATCAATGTAACATTCGTGCGGCACTTGGTAAATGCCAAGCATCATTCTCAGGGCCCGGTACCCATGAACTCATCTAATCTTTGTAACCATCTTACAGGGCGGGCACTGTTACCATGACTACCTAACCGGTCAGGGAGTCCAGCCAGAGGTCTCCGAGCCAGCAAGGGGTGAAGCTGGGCTTTGAACCAGCAGGATGAGGTCTGCAGACTGTGCTTCCTGCCTCTAGCCTTAGGTGCTCCTCAAGCTGCCTAGGAGGGCTACATTTACTGTTGGGAGGACCATGTGATTCACTGGTGCCTGAAAAGCCCTCATGCGTGATGTCTTCCTGGCAGAACTGCTTTCATTTGGTGGTGGGATCCCTCCTGCTCCTGAGGGGCTTTGAAATGAAGCTGCCCAGTCCCAGGGTACCCTTGTCCCTCTTGCGGTACTTACTTCCCGAAGGCAAAGCATTCCAGGGTGACCTGCTGTCCAACCAGAGCATAGGTCTCTGGGGGGAACCTGGCTTTGATGCTCGGAGCAAAGAGCCGGGGATCTGGGGAGAGAGATGTGTAAATCACACACAAAGGTTTCCAAGGAGGTTTAGGGGCCATGCCTTCCAAAGCCTACAAATCTCCAAATGCAAATGTTTGGAGCCCTTAAACATCCCCTTTCTCCTGGAGCCTGGGCAAGGTGCTCCAGGAAGACCAATTGCCCAACCAGTGCCCAACCAGTGCCCAACCAGGTCTCTGGCAACAGAGCCTCATCAACCTCTGAGCTGCTCTTGGGCTGGCGGGGGTGAGGGGGGGGATGGGACTCCCAAAGCCTATTGACTCTTTCAGCCCTCTCTCCAGCCTCACAATCCTGACCTTCAGCAGCCAGGTTGAGCTGTGCGAACTTGCTGAAGACACTCTTGGTAGAGAAGTCCATGTGGCTGGTGGCCAGACAAGAGTAGTTGCCCAGGTCTGAGGCATTGGTCCGGGCGATATATAGGTTCCCTGTGGTCTGCGACACGAAGTGGCGCCCATCCGTTGGGATGAAGTTGGGGAACTCATTGAGTAACCAGCGGTAGGACAAACCTAGAGAGGAAGTTTGCGGAGATTCGGGAGAGCTGGCTTCCCAGGCAATCTGGGCGGGGCCCTGATATTCTGTATGCTCTGCTTTCTCAGGAGGGCTTGCAGCAACAAACAGGGACTGAGGGAAGAGGTGGCTTCAGCTCTGTCCCCAGGATGCTAGGTCCTGGGGACACTCTCTCAGGTCCAGCTAGGAAATAGCAGGGCTATTTAAAGTAGAGACTTATCACCTCCTGTCCTGTATTTCCTCTCCCTAGCATCCAGAGGTCCTCTGCAATGCACTCCCCCCCCAAGTCCTGTGGTGGCCCGGGACCCCCACTTACCTGGGTAGTGAGCAGGAGGGTTACAGGGCAGCATCACCCCCCAGCCCTCATGAGTTTTCACAGGGTCTCTCTCTTCCTTGGAGAATTCCTGCAGAACTGGAGATGGAGAGCTGGGCTCAGGCACCGTCTTCAAGCCTGGGGCTCCCCAGCCTCTCCTCCACGGGGAAGAAACTGCCATTTGTGGGCAGGAAAGCCTGGGGTTGCCACCTGTCCTTCCTGGGCACCTTTTCCTGGCCCCATCTACCCACACCCAACATCTTGGCTCCCATGGATCTCACAGCCGAAGCGGAGGACAGCCTCCTTGCTGACGACAGTGCCCACTGGGTTCGAGGCTAGGCACTGGTAGACACCGGCATCCTGTGCCTTGGTGGGGCTCATGATGACCAGATTACCCCCCATCAGCTGGTGACGAGAACCGGGTTCCAGGTTCATATCAGTGCCGTTCATCTTCCACCTGCAGCATGGGCGAGCAACAGTGAGGATGAGACCTCGGCCTTACGTGAGGAGAACCCATATGGCCGCCCAGAGCCTCCCAGTACCCACGGCTGGGATCTCACCTATAGGTGGCTGGAGGACTAGCTCGGGCACGGCACGCCAGTGTCACCTGATCCTCTGTGGACTCCTCTGGGAATAGCAAGCCTACAGGCTGGTCTTCAAAGACAGGTCCAAAGGTGGCTGGGGTTCCCTGGACAAAACTCCGTGCTGCAAATAGGGCGGTACCACCAGAGGCTCAAGTCTGAGACAGTCCAAGTCTAATGTTAACAGCAAACCGTCCAGTAGAGTTTATTGGGAATCCTCATTTTCTGCACTGTCCAGTAGGTGGTCGTTTGTGGCTACTGAGGATTTGGAATGCGGCTTAGGAACCAAATTTAAATTTAATTTTAATTAAATAGGCACGTCCCGTCAGTCCACATTTGCATTGTCCGCCGCCTGCCTACAGTCACATATTAAACACTCGCTGTATACCTGGCTGGCACTGGGCTGCGAAAATGAATCAGACGCACAGCCCCTTGCCTCGGAGGACAAGAAAGGAAGCAGAGAGCAGACAGCACAGGGCGCCGTGTCACAGAGTACTTTAGGGACAAGATACCGTGAGACACAGGGAACCTCGCCTCGCACAAGTGTGGCACATGAGAAGTGGCCAGCAGGGAACACAGAAAAGGGCTGTGTTCCCGGAGTCCAGTGCTCTTCCAGGCAGTGTAGACCAGTGGGAGGCGCTCACTTGGGGGCTGAGCTGGGCCTCCTTGGGCAGGTTATACACACACACACACACACACACACACACACACGTGTACTGATCTGGTGTCTTCCCACGATAAGAGTAGGGATTCATTTCCCAGGTCCATGGCAGGCTCTAACCAGGAGAATAATAGGGAGGGCCAGGCAGAGGGAGCAGGTTCAACCACTGGCTGTTAGACCCCACTGGGGACAGAGAGTTGTGGGAGATGGAAGGCTGGATGTTGCGTGTATGGCGGCGACAGGTCAACTGGTGTCAATTTTATAAACTGTGTCACATCACGGCCAACCGATCAGGTGATGTTGCTTCTCAAATGGGTTTCACGTTCACCTTTCCCAGGCCAGAGACATCTCGGCTACTGCCTTGCTCTGCACACACTATTGTCCCATCTCACCAGAACAGGGTCAAGGGGGTGGGGGGGTGGGAGGGTGGGGAGGCTGGACAGGACTTCACACCTGCATCAGTACAGCAGGGGTCCTGCCATTTGGGGAGCAGGTGGGAGCCAGGCCCCTTAATTGGCTCCTATCTCTCATGCAGCTGATTTCAGACCTTCCTGGTTGGGGTGGAGGGATGGGAGGAGGGGACTCCATTAACCAATTAGTGCCTTCTTTCTGGGCACATCCAGCTGCCAGCCCTCTTCCAAGCGTGGTCCCCCTGCTGCAGCTGAGGCCCAGCTCTGGCCTCCTGGGGATGGGGGCATCTGTTAAGCAGCCCTCTGAATGAGGAATGAGGTAGGAGGCAGGACTTCCAGAATGGTCTGCAGAAGACTTCCCTTGAGTCCTGTTCACGTTGCCCACCCCCACCCCACAGCAATTACTTGTCACTCTCTTTGGCTGCTGCCTGCAGCCTCAGAGGTGGTGTGTGACAGCAACTGCGTCATCTCCCCATGGATAGCCCAGCTTAATCCAGAGTTAATGATGATGGTAGAGGGTAGGGACCCTGTCCCAGCTGGGACCACCTGGAGAGAGGCGAGGGGGAGCAGAGAAGGGAGGAGGAGGAAGGATGTGGAGGCAATGGGCTGCTGGGAATCACCTTACACGATCACCCTCCAGGCACTCAGTCTGGATGGCGGGGTGGGGCCTGGGCACACTGGTACTTTAAGATTGTCTTTCTTCCTGAAAAAAAGCATCCCCTCTACACTCAGCCATGTGCTCATCTTCACACTCACCCCGTTATCCACCTGTACACACCACCGTGTCTCACCTGCACATGTTCTACAGAGGTTCTCATATCACACATATGTTCATATACAGATGTCACTCTAGGCCGATCAAATGGCCAGATACACATCTATAAGCACTTCTGCACCAGGCAGAAACAGCTGCTAACAGCCCTGCTTGCTCATCCCATATGTACGTTATGTTGTCATAAGTAGCTCTACTCATGGTAATAATTAAGTTATTATGTAATAAGAATAGTGCTGTTGATTCAATTGCTTCCTGCTGCCTGATACTATACTCCAAATCCTTCCTCAATAGCACTCTTAAGATTCAGACCAGTAAGGACTGAGACTTGGGGAGGTTTAATAACTTGTCCCACCTCAAAGCAAAGGAGGATATCTGCTCTCATCCATCCTCACCTTGCAGCCAGCATTTTAAACTACAGTTGCCACGATTTCTGACTTCAGATTTTGGAACCATCTGGGGCCCTGAGTCCACCCTAGAGGACTGAAATCTCAAGTTCTAGAAATCAAATCCAGAAATATGGAATATATATATATATATATATATATATATATATATATATATATATATATATATATATTGCTTCTGAAAGAGGCTGGAGTAAGTTTAGGGCGTCAAGGTACAGGTTGTGCCTCCCTCACACCACACCCCACAGCATATCCCTCATTCTTTGACCCCGATGACTGTTTTCCCCAGAAAGGACATAAGGAATGTTGCAGTGGAAGGAAAGAGCCAGAGGGATGCTATGAGGAGGAAGATGCCTTGCCCTCTCCTTGGCCCAGGTTGTGAGTGGTCCAGAGCTCTATTCTAGGATCAGGTGAGCAAGCCAAGAGGTCCCAGTATAGAGTAGATCTACGATCGATCCGGCCACATGTGAGAGATGGCAGCCCAGGTCCTGGCCCTTTGGTAATTGCTTCTGACCCATTTAGATCAGGGGACCCTGAATGGTGTTGACACCTCTTACTTCCGAAAGGAGTTGTCTCCAAGAGAGGGCATACTGAGGATCTTCTCTGGCCTCTCTCAATGGGAATCTCTTGCTCTGTGCAGTTGGAGCTTCCCACCCTGGCAATTGCCCCCAGTTTGGAGGACCCTGGGGGGGGCAGAAAGCTAGGCCTGGGGTCTTGGGGTTAGCCCAACTTCTTAGCACCTCCATCAAACTGAGAGGACCTGGTGAGAGCTTCTGAGCAAGTCAGCCCAGACAAAGATCTAGAGGGCATGGCTGGCTGTGTCTTGAAGAGCGGTGGGGGAGAGGTGGAGTCTAAACTCCAGGACTTCGGGGTGAGTGCTCCTTACTCCCATGGAGCTCTTTGGGGAAAAAGAAATTCCTGTTGACTTAAATCTGGAGTTCAGGCCCAGCCAAACAGTAGCCAGCTGGTCCCTCGGCACAAGCCCTGGAGATGCCCGGCTCCAGGACAGGAACATTCCAGCTGCTCTCACTCCCTTCTCTGCCCTCTGCTTCCCATCTTTGATCTTAGCGTGGAGGGTACCATGGAGGCGGGACCCTCTGTCAGCAACCCCGCTATGCCTCATCTGGGCTCTTTCTGCCCCTCCCGTCCAGGTTGCCCTTTGGGTCCCGGACCCTGGGATATTCTTCTTCAGGAAAAATTCCTGGGTATGATGGAGGTGTCCCATGACCTGGGGTGTCCAAGGTAACCACTGAGCACTTGACATGTGGCAAGCACAGCTGAGGACATCATTTTCATTCGAATGATATGTTAGCTCGGGCATCACACTTGGCGACGCCTCCCACACTGTGCAGGGTAGTTCTGGAGGTCGCAGCAGCTCCGATGGTTAGCACTGAGATCTAGCTGTGCTATAATGTGCTGTCTGACATGGGGTAAGCCACTCAGCTTCTCTGGGTCATTTTTCTTCGTCTTCAACATAATAAAGATCCATTTCCTTTCCTCTCAGCTTCAGAGGTAACGTAAGATTCACAAATGGGAGGAATTATTCAGCAAGGCCTCGGCAATGCAGAGGAATTGCTACCTAAGTGGTAGTAATGACTTAACCACACAATCAGGCACTCTTACCTGGAGAGGAGACCAGGGCCCCCGTGGCCAGCACCACCAGCAGCAAGCATGGCTTTTTCCTGCCCGGTGTCCCCATGGTGCCTGTTTCAGGCAGAGGCAGAGCCCAGAGGTCAGTCACTGCAGCCCAGTTCCAGGAGAATCAACTGGACACTTGAGAGACACCTAAGGAGACAGAGGATGAGGGGTCTGAGCCACAGGGCCCCGCCCAGCCGCAAACACATCTGGTGAGTGACTTGCTCTCCTGACAGTGCTGTAGGGAACTAGCACTCACCTTCCTCAGGTCCCAGAGGACAAGCTTGGCTGTTACCAAGGAGTTCTCCCAGGGCTGAGTGCCTCCCCTTGTCCTTCCAGCCCACCTCCCCGGGGAGTCTGGCTCTGCCCAGTCCCCTCCCTCCATCCAGCAGGTGCTGAAGAGGAAGCCGGAACAGAGTTAATTGGGAGGCAGGAACCCACCTGCCTGCTTGCCTGCAATTGTGATCCCTCCGCATCAGTAGGAGTCCTGAGAGAGAGAGAGAGAGGCCTGTGCATGGGCAGGGAGCCAAGGACACATCTTCTTCTTGGGTACTTGGGGACCCGGGCAACTCTCTCCCTGCTCTTGGCCCACAGCTGCCTAGGTGGCGGCTACTAAGACCCTCTGGAGCTGGACAGTCTCTGAACCAGAAGTGATTTTTCTCAAAGGAAGGGATACTTCCTGTCCCTCAGCTCTGTCCCCGGCTGGGGTGCCCAGGCACAGCACCTGGGTGCTTTGCATGGAGTCATGACCTTGGTCCTATCAGCCATACTCCCGCCACGGCGGTTAACGGCCCAGCTTCTGTCTTACACTGGACTAGCAGACACTTGGTAAGATCAGCCTGGCTAGGTCACAGAGAGAAGACAAGGGCTGGGGAGAGGAGGAACTCGTTTGGAGAAGCAAGGGCAGAGACGGGGTCACCTCCCTGTCTATTCCCCCTCAGGAAGAATCCCTGACTTCTGAGGGACAGGGACTCCCAGGAACTACCTTCTTGATGTTGGCGTTAGCCTGGTTACCACAGCCCATTGCTCCCTCCCAGGGCTCCCACAGGGCCAGGGTGCCTGGCTGCCCACCTCCTGCCTGCGGAGGCCTGGGGCAAGGCTCTCCCTGCTAACTGGCCGTGGAGCCTTGCCTTCTGTGTTTGTGACGTTTGTGATCTTTCAGGTCCTTCAGCTCAGGCTCTCTGATACTTCCTAGGATAGCAGTCAGGATCCCCACCCTGTGGGCCGTGAGGGGAGACTACGTAGATGAGGGCTCGGGGTATGCCACACCTCACTCCTACAGCATGCACGCACGCTCGGGCGCACACACACACACACACACACACACACACACACACACACACACACGCACACGCACACAGGTCTTCAGGTCTGCAGGGCATCCGGTGTCAGGGACTCTCACAAGTAACCCTGTGGATGTCACACAAATGTGGGACGTTATCCTCAACACAGGGAGGTGCTGGCTCAGTTTGCAGTCTAACCACCATTGCAACGACTGGGAAACTGATGGGCAGGAGTTGGTAATACTGACCTCATCCCTCCCTCCCTCCCTCCTTCCCTCTCCCTTCTCTCTCCCTCCCTCCCTCTCCCCCTTCCTCTGTCTCTCTCTCCCTGTAAAGATGACTTTATCTTTAATTATGTGTACTTGTGTAGGTACTCACAAGGTGTCAGACACCCTGGAGCTGGGTACCAGGAACCTAGCTTAAGCCCTTGAGGGCAGTACATACTCTTAACTACTGGGTCGTCTCTCTAGCCACCCCCCCCACTTCATCTTTTTACAGCTCTATGGAGCTGTACCCGTTGTTCGCCCTGGTGTGAGTTATTCCCCTCGTCCACAAAATGGGGATTATACCAGCATCAGAGTGGTCCTGTGGCTACATTTGGTATCACTTGTACTGTTTATCAAGGAGCCACAAAGCTCCAGAGCCATTTGGACCTCTATCGGTCTACTGTGGGGAGAGAGGGAGAGGATGGCTCCAGATGGTCCCCTTCTCCTGCCTCCATCTCCTCTGGTATCCATTTCCTACCCTTAACTTCCCCGGGACGCTCCCTTGTTGAAGGACTTGAAGATCATTCCTGTGACTGGAGAATCGTGAACCCATGCCCAGCACAGAGATGGTGCTCATCATTTACTCCTCCTGCCCTTTGCCAGCCATCCAGGGCTAGATAGAACTCAGCTCAGGCACAGGAGCCTGGCCTGGGAGGAGGCTGGCATCTGGGTGTTTATCGGAATGTGCCAGAGCAAGGCAGAGGTGAAGTCACACTGGTCAGCTCCACCATGTAGTGGTCAAGATTCTACGTGTCTTTCTGCCGAAGACTATAGATTATGGATAATCCAATCTCACTGTACACTTTAAACTTTAGTTTAATCCAGGCTTTTTATCAGCCACCAGTTTGGCCTAAATGTCCCGGGTGCCCTCCAGGGCCCAGGACCTCAGAGGAGATGTGTGTGGGATCAGGAGGGTGTGGGGTACACTGGGATGCACTGGACATCAGTCACGTGTGATCAGGTGTGTAGTGAGCCCCGCTGCTCTGAATAAACTAGTAAGAGATCACACTTGAGTTTAAGTAAAGGTCAGAGCTTGTTGCTTCCTTGAAGATGAGGCAGCCAGCGTATTCATTTCTATTATCATGTGTGCATGCATTCCTGTGTGCGTGCATGTGTGGGTGTGCGCATGTGTACTTGTGTGAACATATGCGTGTCTTGTGGTGGGAGACAAGGCCTTCTCTATGCCTTGAACCCACAAGCCTCCTGTACCAGTTGGGATCCCAGGGATGTGCTCACATCCAATCCCATTGCAGGACTCAGTGACCACATGCCAGGTATTGAATACATGGGAGGCTGGGAAGCAGTGACTGAGATACTCCATTTATGACACTCCCTGGCCAGCTGAGAGCAGCCATAAGATCAGTCATCTCCCCACACCCATCTGACATGTTCTGGAAAGCCTAGGATGGAGAACCGTCAGAGTGAGGCTGGAATGGAGTTACGCCAGGCCCAGATTGGCCCTGCCAGCTCTGAGGCAGCCAAGTCTTGCCCAGGCCAGCTGCCCTGGTGCAGGGGTGCAGGGACAGGCTGTCACAGTCGGGTACAGGCTGTCACCATCAAGGGGCTGGTTCTATGAGGGGGTTCTATGGGGGAGTAGGTCATTGAGAGGGTCAGAGACTCTAGAAGTTTCCAGGAAACAAAGGGTGAGGGGAAGGACAGCTTGGGACAGCAGACTATAAGCTAGACCAGCGCTCGACAGGATTTCTTGGCTAAGGACAGCTATGTGGAGCCAGAAAAAAAAATTACATAGCCCAGCAGAATTTTGCTGCTTCCTGAGATACCCAGCTCTGGTCCCGCCTCTCCCCCAGTCAAGGAGATCAGAGAGTGTGGGAGTAGTGTGTATAGCGTGGTGTGAGGGGAGGGTTTGGAGTAGAGCAGAAGACGGAGAGAGGGCTAGGGTCAACCTTTGAGGTATTGCAGGAGCCTCTTGAATGCTCGCCTTGACCTCTGCCCTGTAGCACATCAATGAGACCTAGCATCCCTAGCTAGTGTAACCCAACTTACTTGCACCTCAGTTTCTCTTCTGTAAAGTGGGGGGCAAGAAGGGTCACCTCAAGGGATGATCATGAGGTCAGAGCCACGCCTGGGACACTGCCAGTGCTTGGGAAAGATTGGATCTTATAACCAAGCTCCTCCTGTCCCCCAGGATGTCTACACACACTGCACCTGTGAGAATCGGGCTTGCTGACAGTCTTGTGCTAATGGCAAAGGCGCCTGCCTTCTCTTGGCAGAGCCTTTCCCTCACATTCCACAGGCGTGATGTAATGAGGTAAACCCTAACAATCACCCAAGTTCATGGCACAAGATAGCCCACGGGCAGATTTGTACCCAAAGCACATGTTCAGGAAACATGGCCTGGGAGTGCTCGTGACACTCTCAATGACTTTCTATCACTGCCCAACTCCTGCCTCGGGCGGAGGGAGACTGAGCTCAACACTTGTCTTCTGCTTAGGGTGAGGGTCACTACCTGGCAGGACCAGCAAAGGCCGGGGCGGTCTCAATCACCACGGCCTGTAGGGAGGATGGGGCTCCGAGCTGAGGTGTGGAGGCTGCTGGGGTGCTCAGTGTGCCAGGCCAGGCACCCCTGGGCAGGGGAAGGGTCTGAAGTGCAGAGGTGCTTAGGGGGCAGTGGATGGGATAGGGACCTTCAGCTCCGAGTGACGGGGTGGAAACCCTCAGTTCTCTGTCCCCAGTACGCATGGTTCCTGGGGTGGCAAGGTCACTGTGATTCCCAGGCTCAGGGGTCTGTCTGAACCCTCAATACCAAGTGGATGAGCCTACCATTCAGAGGTAAGAGGCCAGAGGGATGGGGGTTGGGGGTAACTTGGGTCTTCCTGGAAGGAAGTGTGGGACTGGGGTCCAGTCACCCCAGACCCTGGGTTGCCACACCCTGCCTGCCCTTCTGTGTGTAGTGCCAGACAGCAAGCAAGGGCCTTGGAAGAAGGATCTCACCCTACACTTTTTTTTTTTTTTAAACAGGGCTGGGGATCAAACCCAGAGCCTCCCATAGGCAAGAGGAACGCCCTCTGGCGCACTTTACCCTCAGTTCTCAGAAAGATCGATTCTTTGTGAAACTGGAGGAGCATGAACAATTGTTTCCAGAAGAGCAAATTTGGAAGAAGAGGGCCTCATGCATTAGCAGGCAATTTTTGCAGGCCTACCTGCTTCCTTTACTAAGAGAAGATTCCTTCTTATTCCCACCCCAACCCCCTAGCTCCCAGACAGTTCTCAGCAAGCTGGTGGAGAGCAGGAACCTTAAAGTCCTGGGGATTGACAGATGTTGAAATGATATGGGCTCCCTCTGGAGCCTGTACGCAGGGCGAGGGTTGACTTCCACAGTTTGAAGGGGGCTATATGGTTGTGGATACTGAGGTATATTCTAGTGTGTCTTGGGATGGATGATGCTCGGGTTTGGAGCACACCTTTGTTTTTGGTTGCAACTCATTTCTCATTTAGCAGACAAAGAAACATGGACTCATTTTGTAGATGGCCCTGGTTTTGTAAAAGGACTCATT